TCTGCTGAGTACTCTCTAAAGACTCCTCTGCACTCAGGGCTGTGGACGGGAAGTTTTTTACTCACCAATGAACAACACCAAGTTGACACAACCTTCATGCCGCCCTGAGGAAGATAAAGCTCCTTGCTACTCCTGGCACCTCAGAGGGAAGTTACTCAGGAGTGGGTACGTGGGCCCTATGGTGGCGCCAGGGCTCAGCACAGATGCTGTTACTCAACTGTTTTTCCGCGGACATGCGCCCCCTCCTAGTTGTCCTGAAATACCTATAAAATTCAATATTCAGTTTACTCAATGTCGTAATTTTGGAAATTCCAACTGAAATGAAGCCCACTATAACCATATCCCTCCCAAAAATGGTGATGGAGAGATTACTTGGAAGACATATAGAATGAAATGTACACACAAAGTAACACACAAAAACCTATTCAAAATAGTCCAGAGACTGTAATTGAAAATGCAAAACTAGAAGAAATCAAAAATAAAATCTATGTGACATTGGGTTTGGTGTTGAGTTTTAATACACGACATCAAACGCCAATTCATGAAATATTCATAACAGACTATAAAACTCAATTTTCTACTGTGAAAAATCCTATTCACAGAACAAAAAGACAAGACAGACTGTGGGAAGGTATTTACAAAATACATATGTGATTTTAAAAAACTGTATTAAAAATACACAAATAACTCTTCAAAGGAACAGTAAGAATTTTAAACTGGCCAGGCACAGTGGCTCACACGTGTAGTCCCAGCACTTTAGGAGGCCAGGGTGAGCAGATCATCACAAGGTCATGAATTCAAAACCAGCCTAGGCAACACGGTAAAACCCCGTCTCTTCTAAAATACAAAAAATTAGCCAGGTGTGGGGGCACGCAACTGTAATCCCAGCTACTCGGGAGGCTGAGGTGGGAGAATTGCTTGAACCAAGGAGGCAGAGATTGTAATGAGCCAAAATTGTGCCACTGCACTCCAGCCTGGGTGACAGAGCAAGACTCCGTCTCCAAAAAAAAGAAAAAATACTAAAATCCCAATTAAAACTGGGTGAATATCAGAACAGACACCCAGCCAAAGAAAATATACATATAGATAGCATGCTGGGCATGGTGGCGCATGCCTGTAATGCCAGAACTCTGGGAGGCTGAGGCAGGTGGATCACCTAAGATCAGAAGTTTGAGATCAGCCTGGCCAACATGCTGAAACCCCCTCTCTACTAAAAATACAAAATATTAGCCAGGCATGGTGGTGGGCGCCTGTAATCCCAGCTACTTGGGAGGCTGAGACAAAAGAATTGCTTGAACATGGAAGGCGGAGATTGCAGTGAGCCAAGATGAAGCCATCGCACTCCAGCCTGAAAGACAGAGCAAGACGCTGTCTCCAAAGAAAAAACCCAAAAATATGCAGATAGCAAATAATCACACAAAAGGATGCTCAACATCATGTCACATTAGGAGACTGCAAATTAATATAACCCTAGATGGCTGGGTGCGGTGACTCATGCCTGTAATCCCAGTTCTTTGGGAGGCCGAGGCGGGTGGATCACGAGATCAAGAGACTGAAAACATCCTGGCCAAAATGGTGAAACTTTGTCTACTAGAAATACAAAAATTCACTGGGCATGGTGACACATGCCTGTAGTCCCTGCTACTCGGGAGGCTGAGGCAGGAGAATCGATTGAACCCAGGAGGCAGAGGTTGCAGTGAGCCAAGATGGTGCCACTACACTCCAGCCTGGTAAGAAAGTGAGACTCCGTCTCAAAAAAGAAAAGAAAAAACGAAAGATTGAGATATCACTGCACATCTAGTAGAACTGCAGGTCTCTAAAAATAGTTCAACAATAACAACTGGAGGTTGAAGAACAAGAGGTACTGTCATTCATGACTGGTAGAATGTAGCCACTTTGGGAGACAGTTTGACAGTTTTTCCCAAAGATAAACAAATCTTAACTGCAATCCAACAAATGCACCCCTAAATTGTATATGTTTAGACAGCTGCTTTGAAAAATTATTTTCAAACAAAAGCTAGCATAACCAACTTCAAGTACAACCACGCAATGGGATACCATTCAGCAACAGAAAGGAATGAACTTTCAATCCATGAAAATGAATGAATGTGGCATGTATATTGCTAAGTGAAGGGTGGCAGAATCCAGATGCTATATATTATATGACTCAATTCATATGACATTCTGGAAAAGGCACAACTACAGAGATGATAATCAGATGAGTGACTGTCTGGGGTGGAGATGTGAAGTATTCTATATGACCCTTGAGTGGTGGATACCTGACACTATGCATTTGATAAAACTCATAGAATTTTAAAGCACAAAGAACAAATCACAATTTATACAAATTAAAGTATTTAGGTTGTAAAAGTATCTAAGGACAAAATATGGAGTGCAACCAAGAATCCAATTGTATTATTACCAATGTATGTTCCAAATGGTGGGCCAAAGATACTGACCTAAGTCATTTTGAAAATGAGTAGAATTCATAGCCTAAAAG